TCTTCTCCAGAAGGTGTCAGTATAACCTCAACAAAATTTAACTCCGACACTGTTTGTGTTGTCCACTAGGGGTGCTATAACTTCCTGTGGCGTTCGGTTGACATCCTGTTGTTAGCCGCTTAGCTTGAAGTTAGCTTCGGCTAAACTCGGTTAAAATCAACATTTCTGAACGGATTTTTTGCACAAACGTGGCAAAAGTTTTGCAATCAGACTTTATAGCTTCAAACATGAGTTTTTGGGACAATATTGCAGCTTTATTTAGTGATTTTAAGCGTAGCTAAGGCTCCGGTCGTTAGCTGTTTAGCTTAAAATTAGCATCGCTAGCGTTGTTTAAAAACATCATTTAATGACGAATTTTAGACTCTAACGTGGCAAAATTTCAGCGAATATGCTTCGAAGCGCTTAGCCAGCGTGTCAAAACCACTTTAAAGTTACTTTTCAGCTTTAAAAAGCAGATTTTATTTCCCTATGAAAACGAATTTCATTTCCGGGTCACGTGACTGAAATCACCAATGGCAAAGCAGCGCAGGGTTGAGAGGGGATGACGTAGCCACGTCAGTCAACCTTCTCAGCAAATCAGAGCGCTCCACAACAGGGAATTCAACCAATCAGGAAAGCGTTTTCAGCCAGCATGCTAGGTTTAGCCTGAAAATAGTTCGTCAGCTTTTCGTCTTTTAAACTGTCAAAATGCACTTTTTCTGTTAAAAATTGTAACGAATCAACTCCTAACTGTGTTCTGAGGCGGCGCTCAGCTTTTAAAACGTTTATCCATCTATTCAAAATACTCGTTCAAACTCAACAGAACCGAACTGGACCACAGTCCTGGTCTTTTCAGCAGAACCTCAGTACTTTTAAACAGAATCAACGTTTTCCACAGCTCATCAGCTTTTAGTTAACATAACAGGCGTACAATTTCAGCTTTCATAAAGACTTATGACACAATTTCAGCTTCTCTGTGAGCTTCACTGAGCTCCACAGACAGACACGCTTAAAACATGCAGCGTTTCGCTTCAGGCGGTGCAGCTCCAAGCGCGCAGCTCCAAGCGCGCAGCTCCAAGCGCGCAGCTCCGGCTGCGTTTCAATCACAGCTGATAAACTGTTACTTTTTAACATACATGCCAACACGTAAATCAATCTTACACGTTTTTACAGTCATTTATGAGCACGTTAACGGGCCACCAGTTGTAGTGAGTCACGTGGGTACGTGTCACTAGTTGTAGTATGACAATATATCCCCGTATATATGCATACTTTTTCACGAGTTCCTCATCTTTCTGACTGTGTAATGTCGTGCATTGAATTTTAACAAAAATGTAACGAGAGACGTCATTTATCTTTGACCCATCAAAATGAATGCGGTCATTTATTTTCAGAATCAAAGTTTAACATCAAACATTTACATTAATTTGGCAAAATATGAAAATAATAACAGACAAGTTTCACAGAAAATGAGCTTCGAATCACTCGGCGGTGATCGAGGACTTTGCTTCAGATATTTCTAAAATATCTGTACTGATTTTATGAGGAAGAGAAGAGTTTTAAGATGAAATGGAGTTATCTTACAGAGAACTATGTGAGGGAATTAATCTGTTTGACCAGAACGTGCACGCTTCATCAGATCTCAGCTCGCCTCCGGTACACTTTAGGCGAAGAAGAGACCGTTACCTGGTTGATGATAGATCAGCTCGATAGAGAATCCTCCAGACCTTTCAGCGTCTCCGTTGAGAGCAGCTGAAATCCTTAGATAGTCGTGTGTGGTTTGTTCAAACAGAAGTTATAATCCCAAAACGTCTCTGGATCGTCTTGAATGCGTTTGCACCCAAGAATTCTGAACTCCTTTCATTCTTCAGAACTTTTCAGATTCTTAATTGTCAGCAACTCTGTAGTTCTTCATCTCTGGAATTCTTTTCCATTCTCAGTTCTTCTTGAATTCTAACATGAACTGGGAAGTTGCCACATTTTAAATGGGTCGACTTCCGGTTCAATTTAGAGCTTTCTGATTCGTGGATGGACCAGAAAGAGGTGTGTTTTTGTGATGTAAGATGTTATCATAAGTCAAGGATTGTTTTCAACATACAGAAAAGATTATTGCAGACGACCAGACTTCGTGGAGTCTCATGCTGTTGTATCTTCTCAAATAGTAAAACATGACATTTCTTCTCAGTAAACATTTTAGTTGACCAAGACTCGACCTTTCACATACTTACATTGTTTGGCTCATTTCAGACAGAGAATCAAGAAATGCATATTAACCTGATTTCTTCTTTGAATGAGGAATAAAAATCATTACTTACTGTTTATGTAAAATAAAAATGAGTAGTTCTTTCCAACCTGTAAGCATTGAATGGAACTAACACAATTTGATTATTAGACATTTGTAAAACAGTGATGATTATAAAAATTGTCTTTTCTGCTTGATTAATTCAAGAAAGAAAGTCACCAGATGGCTCAGACTGTATTCAGATCAATGAACATAACAGTCTCTGTCCATCTGATAGATTTGAGGTCATCAGGGTCAGATCAGGGTCAGATCAGGTTCACTACATAAGTATTTTATATGTGTGTGTGTGTGTGTGTTTAATTGCTCTTTTAGCTACTTTTGCCTGAACCTAACACTGTAAGTGAAACAAGGCATTTGTTGAGTTGCTGTAAATTATGCTATAAAACATGTTTACTGTCTCATTCCAGAAAACAACAACAACAAACAACAACATCCTTCATGATGGACAGACATCATGGACACCACAGCAGCAGCTGTCTTCACTGAAACATCCTGAACATGATCGTCACTGACATGAGGCCTCTGTCGATGGTTGAAGACGAAGGCTTCACTACAATAATCCACACTTTTAATCCAGGTTACAATAATCCACACTTTTAATCCAGGTTACACTCTTCCCTCAAGGACACATTTTACAAAGTAGCTACATATTGTGCAGGTATAAAGATACATTTGTATATATTTTTGTGTACATTAATTTTTTTAAGCTATTTGACTAACTTTTATTTTTTTATTATTCAATCTTTTACTAACAGAATAGTAAAATAGCAACCTGTTTTTTGTGTGAATTGCTATGTCAGTCAAATGTTCAATTTTGGAATAAAGGGGTGGAAATTAAAACTTTTTTTTTTTTTTTGCCGATTCATCGATTAATCGAAAAAATAATCGCCCGATGAATCGATTATTGAAATAATCGTTAGTTGCAGCCCTAGATCAGTCTTACATCAGGGAAACTAAACAGCCACTGGCCAAAAGGATGGCCCAGCACAGAAGATCAACATCATCAGGCCAGGACTCTGCGGTCTACACTCATCTCCAGGCCAGCGGTCACTCTTTCAGGGATGAAGATGTTCACATCCTGGACAGAGAGGAACGATGGTTTGAGAGAGGAGTAAAGGAGGCCATCTTTGTGAGAACAGGACAGCTTCACCTTTAAAAACTAGCTTTGTTTTATTTGCGTTAATTTATGGACAAATTAGAATAAATTAATAAGTAGTTAATTTTTTGTTTTTCAGGAGATAACTACGATGTTTGTGCCATCTGTTTGGATGAGTATGAAGAAGGAGACAAGCTGAGGGTTTTACCGTGCTCACACGGTAAATATAGTATTTGCTTTCTGCCGATGATCATGTTGGTGTAAAACCCCATCATATGAGCACATAAGGAAGATGGTCCCTGGGTAATTTTACGAGTAGTAATGATACTTTTATATGTTTATTTACTCGTGTTGTACTTTGTACTGTATAACGCTTGAATTGTCGCCGTTTTCTGACGAGCCTTTCAAAATGTTCCTCCTCGTTTTTTCAGCGTACCACTGTAAGTGCGTCGACCCGTGGCTCACGCAGACCAAGAAGACGTGTCCCGTGTGCAAACAACGCGTGACCAAGAAGAACCCGGAGCACTCCGAGTCCGACTCCGAGGAGGAAGCTGTGGGCCACAGAGAGGATGGAAGGTCGGAGGGCGACGCAGACTCTGAACGCACTCCTCTGCTCCGCCCCTCCAACATCGGGCCCCCATCCGGGAGCCCAGCCGACTATTCAGCCACCACTACCACCACCACCGCCCAGTGCCTCGCCTCTCCTGCACAATGCGACTCCCCCATCCTGGGCTACGAAGGCTACTACTCCCCGCAGGAGGACACGGACTCAGAAAGCAGCGACACGGGAGACGACCTGCAGCGCAGTGATGACGACACGGCCCAACTCATCGGCAGGGGTCGAGTTCTGGCCTGAGCTGTGTGCAGCCACAGCAGCCAAGTTTTAATGAACACAAAGGGGCTTTTCTACTTTTGAACATCGTTACTTTCAGATGGTAAGCTTCACTTTTAGAGCAACTTCCACTCAGGTTGGGTGATTGGACAAATCTATCGGTCACCAGCCGTTGGTTCGACTGGTGGAAAATCAAAAGTTTAACCTATCACCCAACACTAGCTTCCACGGTTAGTGAAATTTCATTTTACAGCCATTTTACTCCAGTAACTCATACTTTTAAGTGTCGAAGCAGCACTTTTACAAACCTTTTTTTTTTAAACCATTCCCTAATAAGTGTGTACATATGGTTGGGGGATCTTTGTTTTTATTTTTAATCTGATTTAGGTCTTTTTCACACATTTTATGAGTAAATTGTTTTTTTTGTTGTTTTTTTTTAGTGTCAGATTTCTCATTTAATGTTAAACTGAATATTGTTGTTATTCAACAGTTTTTCTTCAGCTCTTGGGTGGGAAGTTGAGCAAAGATTTAAACCGTTTCCAGTTCGTGAAGTTGAATAAACTCAGGTGTAAGGTTAAAGGTCAGTTGAAACGTAACAGAATAGGAAGTTTATATGGTTTAGTTTTGCAAATTGTTTTACCCAGTAATTTTTTTTCTATTTTTTTGTAAGCAAAAGAATCAAAAAGGTTTGATTTCCTGTTTTTTTTTAATGCACAGCTTAATGTTACATGATTAGTCATGGCACCTTAAGAGTTTTTCTTTATTTTATTTTTTTCTAGGAGCACAAATGAGTATTCGTACATTGGCCTTACGTTTCACACGTATGCTAAATGTTTAAAATAGAAGAGACAAAATAGACACTAAATTTTCTTTTTAAAAGTTTGTATTCCTTTGACCTGCGAGTTTCCAGTTTCTCAGAAGAGCTAAAAATCCAGTTTTTCCACAGGTTTGTTGGAAGCTCAGCAGAAATTTAACAGAACAGGTCGTTCACACTCGAGAGATGACCTAGATCTAGATAATCTAGAGAGTCATGCTGCTAAGTTGTGCAAAAAAAGCCCTGAAAAGATGTTTCGTCCAAATAGTTTTACGGCTGTAAAGAAATAATTTTTATGCATTTTACCTTTATAGGTTGACCTCTGCAGGAATGTAAGCATTCCTGTTGTAGTCATTTTACATTAATTCACTATAGTCAGGCAAACTCAGAGCAGGCTTGTTTATTTCCTAATGAGATTTAGTGCAATTCTTTTTTTTCAGTGTTTGAGAGAAGTTGTTAAAAATGTATATTAGCTTATTATTGTCAGATCTGTCACAGCACCTTCATAGCAGAGAAACATGCGTAATGTGTACATATTATTTGTGGGGGTTGGTTTGCATTCCTCTGCTCGTCATTAGCTCCACTTTTAAAGTTTGATTAGCACTTGTTGGCAGTATACTGTATGATAAATCAGAGCGACTGTTTCTATATTTACGATATGCGTCAAATATCTTTTGTACTGTACTTTTTCCTTTCTGTGCCTGTGCTTCAAGGACTGTTGACGGAAACATAGAAACCTTTTCACTCTTTCTTTTCGAACAAGCCGAGGGTTTTCATACATGTTCAGTGTCAAGAGTTGTTTTTATGTAAGGACAAACAGTATCTAAATGTTATTTGTGGAAGATTATATGACATTAAAATGATGCTGCCATATGCTGAGATATGAAATTGATCAAAAGGGTTATTCACACACGTAATTCATGATAATAAAACGCCACTATAATTAACAAAAGTTATAACTGAGTGTGGCATTATTACAGCTCTGACTATTGAATAATATCATTTATTACAGATAAGGTGTGTTTTTCTTTGCAGTCTTCCTGTTTTTCTCACACTTTTTATATTAAAGGGAGCTTGACTTTTTCTCTGACCGTTCCCTCGTTTGTTTGTTTCCGTTATTGAGTTTATGTAAAATGAAAAGACGTTGATACGGTAACGTAGTTTTGGAGATGAATGTTTTTCTGACTGGGATTGAACAGGGAATGTGTGTAAACAATGTTTTGGTGAAAGATATTCAAGCGGGGAGGAGTTACACTGGAGGAGGTTCTTTATATATTTTTTCTTGTCTTAGGCAGCGCAGAGTGACGGATCCTGACGAGTGGAGGGAGCAGTTTTAACTAGGACCAGTTGGCCCCCATAGATTAGTCCTCATCCACCCCAAGGGCCACCTCAGATAGGAGCCTCTTTTCCACCAAGATGCAGCTACAAGTCAAAATAGAAGTTTACGTTGCTCATTTTTCAAGTTCTCCAACTCGCAAGGTGAACGTGGTGCATGGTGGCCAGCTTGGATTCTGATGCGTCAACCTGATGATGACTTCTTACGCCCAGATGCAGCCACACACCCAAATGCAAGCTGGCGCCTCACAAGTTAACTAAATGGTTCCTATAGGTGTGAGTGAGAGAGTGAATGGTTGTAAGTAAACTTGATTTACGGTACATAATACTTTTCATAGATACAATCACAAAGTGCTTTACAACATACAGGGTTAAAATTAAACAGAACAGCTGATAAAAACAGTAAATACAACATTTAACTAAAAGCTTGTCTGAATAAAAGTGTCAAACTGCTTTTTAAAGGAATCAACAGAGACGGTCACATGAAGAGACGGGCAGGGCACAGCCTGGGTGCTACAGCCTGGAAGGATAGGTCACCCCGAGTTTTAAAACAGGTCTTGGGGACCTTTAGGAGGTTCAGCGCTGAAGACGGAAGGGTGCGAGCTGGAGAATAAGGAATCAACATTTCAGTGATGTATTAAGGGGCCTGTCCATTTCAAGCTCTAAAAGTTAAGACTAAAATTCTTAAATTCTAATCTCAACAGGCAGCCAACAGAATGTTTGTCTCTATGTGTCCCTGTGTTGGACTTGAGACCTGTCCAGGATGTCATGGGCACCAGTGACCCTCGCGACCCGAAAAGGAAGAAGCGGGTAAAGAGGATGGATGGATGGATGGATGCTCACAACCTGCACAGACAGTACTTTCTCTGTCCTGTCTTTGTTTCACAACAGGGAACAAATGGGACATTTTGCACATCGATCCTTGACGTGTCTCCTGCTGGACACACTGACGTCTACCAGCTCTAAATTCATCTGAGATACTGACGAGTACCAAAACATCACATTACACAACGAAGCATTAGCTACACGGAGTTTCATTATCCAAGAGCAGAACTAGTTTAAGTCAAGATGTATTTATAATAAGAAAAAAAAAGGAAATGATTAGTTTCAAAAAAAGCACAGCTCACCTAAAAAAAAATATATAATTTTCTGTTAATTAATTCCCGAACCTGCTGCGTGAACTAATTAGAGCTCAGCTGTGATGTTCTCATCCACGAACACCAAACTGGAAAAAGCAGCTGAACGGTGCATGCATGGAAAGCCTGCCCTGTTAATTTACCGTTTATCTTTTAACAAAATTGATTTAGTCACGTTAAATGATCGGATCTATTTGCTTCTGTCAACATGTTTGTAAAACAGGATTCTTTTCCAGAGCTGAATTCCTCTGGGCCGGTCATTCATCAAGACTTCCTGCGTGGACGGGATTTAGCTCTTTGAATCCACATTTCGTGTATCTTTAATCATGTCTCCTGCTGGGTGGAAGAAAAGACGATTCGTGTTTGAGCTCAGAGAGCTGTTAATGCTTCAGATGGTGGAGCAAAGTTTGGTCATGGTACTACATGACAGGCTTTCTGAAAGTTTGTTCATTATGGGGGAAATAAAGGCCCAGCAGCCTGACGTCACCGTCAGCGTGGCACAATAACCCTGGAGACCTTATAAAGGGACATTCTTCATAGTTTGGTGATTGGACGACGTTTGGAACAACCGATCAACTTTCTTTAGGCGTAACAGCCGAAAGGAAACAATGTCTTCATGCTCCTTTTTGCTGAGATGGTTTCTTTTGTTTATGTTCTTGTCGTTCTTACTGCTTGACTCGGGAGCGATTCCCCAACACCACCCAGAGGTAAACAAAAATATTTGTTGTTTGCTTGTGAGTTTTTGGTGTCAGTGCATGTCATCCTCGCTGTCGATGAAATAAAAAAAATAAAAAAAGATGACCATCGATTAAATGAGCAAAATATTTTCTTTAAATGGTTAGCTTTTTATCTTCCCTCAGCCCATTTTAACGGGTTAAACCGAATCACTTCATATTTTGAGCATATAAACATAATTTTCATGATCTATCAATCTGATAACACTTTTTGAAATAAAGTTACTAGAATTATTCATCCTCGACTCGTTTGGTGATTTGTTTATATGTAAATAAATCCCCTTATTTAGTTCCAAAATGCGTTTGGAAGTAATAAATAAATTAATGAGAAACCTTTTAATTCGTATATTTAAAAAAAAAAAAAACCTCTGTAACCCACGGCAACAATAAATGTCTTTTGCTTCCAGAGTTTTTTGGATGGCTCTTACCAAGCACAAATGACCTCCAGTCTTTTGAAAGCCAACGGAGGTCCTGCAGAAGACATCTCTTTTGGATCCAACGACGGTCAAACCTTGCTTGGGGTGAAGCCAGCGTTCTTGTTAGAGGACGAAGCCCAGACGGCTCGAGTGTGGCCTCGCACCATGCTGGACTACATGAGGCAGCAGCTGAGGTTCAGAGGAAGGACAAAGAAAAGCTCAAAGAAAGGATCCTCCTGGACCTTTACCCTCTAATGAAAGAAATCACAACTGTGAAAGAGAATAAATAATAAACTATTCTGTGAACACACAAAATATCCCGTGATTTGTTTTTGTTGTGTCCCAATTCAATTCAATTGTTGCTAAAAAATGATTGCGAAACTTTAAATGTTCATACATCCAGAAAAACAAAATGAACACTGATATTTCTGATTTGCGATGGAAACTCAAACCGTTTGTAGACTCTTTCTCTAAGACAAAACAAAATAACCATTTAGTTATATTGCATTTTGGAAATGAAAAACTAACAGTCACTTGTAGAAAATTTATATTTATATTAGAAATATGTTTTAGATTCTCAAGGGCTGCTATAAAAATACCCTACAAGCGTATCTAAGAAAAATAATGTTATTTTCACTGAAATATGCACAAATATATTGTCAAAATACTAACAAGCTTTTTTAAATGTCCAGAAACTGCCTTGCATTCGCATAAAATTTTACTTTCTGATCTATATTCAACCCATGTATTCTCAAATTATACCAATAATGTTTAACGTTTAAAAGATACACAAATATATAGTTGTGTGAGTAATTTAATTTGATAACAACAAAGTCCATGCTCAATAATACAGGTATAAAATCCAACATTTTTCAGTCAGGTCATATGGACAGTTTCTTTTTTTGTGCTGAAACGTTTCTCCTTAAATCCGAAAGAGAGAGATTATTGAGAATTATTGAGCATGGACTTTGTTGTTTTCAACCAGTTTGACAAGACAGTCAACAAGGAGGAGGGCCGGCAGTGGAGGAGGGGCGTACCAAAGAGACCATCTTATCACAAGCAGAACTGGTTTGTTCCACTTTGGAGTAAGATGTTGGAGGAAGAATCAGTTTTGTGTGTTTCCTTGACTGATGAAGACTTCCGGATTGAAGGCGAAACGTTTCATCACAAAAAAAAAGAAACTGTCCAGATGACCTGACTGAAAAATGTTGAATTTAATTTGATTTATTATTTTAACCAAAAAAATACTCAAATGTAGTTTGTTCACACAACTTTATTTTTTTCTTCATAATGCCTTAAGGTTTAATAATTTTAAAAAAAAAGAGCTAAAATATACAAATTTATTTTTGTTGTTTTTTGTTTTACACAACTATTATTTTTTCTTTTCAATTTTAATGGTTTTATAAATAAATGTTTGGTATTTCTCCTGCTCACCACGTGGGGGCGCTAGTATCACCCGGTTTTATAAATAAATGTTTGGTATTTCTCCTGCTCACCATGTGGGGGCGCTAGTATCACCCGGTTTTATAAATAAATGTTTGGTATTTCTCCTGCTCACCATGTGGGGGCGCTAGTAGCACCCGTCGCTGTTTGCTGAACACTGCTTGTTGCGCAACTCCGAGAAGAAGAAGGCGTACAAACGAGCGAGCACGATTTAAAGCAAGTAATTTAATTTCGAGGTAAAATATTTCCTTTCTTTTGTTTTATCGTGTTTTATCAGCTTTTTTTGAACCGTTATGACAGCACACTGTCTTATTTACATTAAAAGCGTCGATATTACGTTTAATTTTCGAAAATCAGTTAACACATTTGTAGGACGTTAGCACGTTTGCTAACGACCACTGTTAGCCCTCCCCAAATCGATATAAACAATTGTTCATACTTTTTGTTTTGATTTGAGTTGCAGCGCTATTATTACTTGTGTGTTTTATGTTTCACAAAATAAAGTAAGCTGGTAGAGAAATTTAATTTTTAAACTGTATCTCACGGTAGCACAGGAAGGGCTCTCTGTCAGGCCGTTAGCTTCAGTTTGTGTTCCTCTACGTGATTATTTTTCTTCACTCACTTTGAATTAAAATGACGAGGTGGAGAAAAACATATCAATGAGTTTGACACAGAAGCCTCTTTTTGTCAGCACTTATCATTCGGCAAAACATTTTTGGCCTGCATCAAATCCATTCCTGCACATTCTAGTTAAACTTTATTTTTTTTGCTTCTTCCCAGATGGGAGATGGGAGTGATGATGAGTACGACCGCAGGAGGAGAGACAAGTTCCGACGGGAGAGAAGTGATTATGATCGTTCAAGAGAAAGAGAGGATCGTCGCAGAGATGACTGGAATGACAGGTAGAAAATTAAAAAACTTTGTGGCAAATCTGATCAAATCTCTACCCCCTGCCACCTTTTTGTACCAGAAAAAATATTCAGACAGACGTGTAATGTTTTAATACTTTCTCATAACCTACTCTGTATTGGCAAGTACCCAAACTGAAGTATTCGTACCCTGTCTGAAAAAACTAACTTGTAACGGGACATCGCTACTTATAACAATTTTATATTATAACATTCATCACCTGTAAATATTGAATTCACTTAAGTATCACTTGGCGTATTTTTGCAATACCATATTATAATTTGTTTTAATATTACAGAATCAATATTCAGAGTGCTTGCCAGATGTACAGTAAGATAATAGGTTTCCCTGTGCATTAAAATATTACTCCAGTTTCCAGAACAATCATATTATTACCGGTAATAATTGTTCTCAAATGCAGGATCATTTTCTTCCTCTTACATTTTTCATCACTGAAGGTCTCTCATCATCATGAAGCAGGAGATAGTGCAGAGCATTTCATGTCGCTTTAAAATAATTAACGTGTCTCGAAGCCTCAAATGTCATCAGTTGTGATCGTGGAGAGGTTGAAACGAGCCTTGACAGTGTTTTGAACCAGTCTGCTTCAGAGAAGTGAGACAGGCTTTGGAGTCTGTGACAAAAATCTCTAGCCTTATGTGACATTGTGTAATTCTTCTGATGTTCTATGTAAATGAAACTTGATAGGACAAACAAAATCATGTTCTCTTTTTTTCAACGCCTCAGGGAGTGGGACAGGGGCAGGGAGCGCCGAAATCGCGGTGAATACCGAGATTATGACCGAGGTCGCAGAGAGAGATTCTCTCCATCCAGACATGACATGAGTCCCCAGCAGAAACGCATGAGAAGAGACTGGTGAGATTAATAACAGCACTGGTGACAAATTCTCCAGCTGGTTTCTCCTCTTATTCAGTTTGTATTGCATGTCCTGGCAGGGATGACCACGGTGGAGACCCATACCGTGGGGGGTATGACTTGGGATTTGGCGGTGGAGGAGGGCCGAGCTATGGCCCACCGCAGCACTGGGTCCACCCTGATCTGCACCTCATGCAGCCTCATCAGGGGATCCCCATTCAAGCAAGGTGAGGAATTAATTTGGTGATCATTGCGTTTTAGTTTTGAAGTTCAATGCCATTTTGTACTGCTATGTGCCTTATTTGATATTACCATTCACTATGTTTGATATTTGTCCCGTCGCAGGACGAAAAGGGGTAATTGGAAATACCCCCAGCCTATCTTTGTATGTTGTGATCATGATAACTTAAAAAAATAAGCAAAGTACCAACTTCCATTTTGGTGGGACTGCGTCTAGGTGTAAGAAAATTTGCTTTTGATAAATGGATCGCCACATCTAAATCCAAGATGGCTTCCACCATATATGTAAATGCATAAAACTTGTCAGTTGAATAACTTGGAAAAAGAAACGTTTCAAACGTCACTATCAAAAATTGGGTTGCCATGTCAAAATCCAAGATGGCCAACACCGTACCAGCCGCCCCTATCGTTTAAAAATGATTGGGGTGGCCAGAGGTTGTATCTATGGTAGCCAGGGCCACCATTGGCCACCCTCTGGCTCCTTCTTTGCACCTGGTCGTGGATAAAATTGTTCCCTCCACTTTCCAGGATCACTCTGTGCCACAAACAAAAATATAAAACGAAACTTCTCTTCTTCTACACAGTGTAACTCCAACCCACTTGACTATTTTGCACAAAACATTAAGGTTTGGCACAGTTGGTAGAGGGGTCACCTCTCAGCGAGAAGGTTGCCATATCGAATCTCGGACGGGAACCATTTTGGGTCGAGTTTGCATGTTCTCTCCGTGCATGCGTGGGTTTTCGACAGGTACTCCAGTTTCCTCCCACAGACCAAATAGAGGCTGACTGGGACTGTAACTAAATTGTCCCTAGGTGTGTGAGAGAGTGAACGGTTGTCTCGTTTGTCTCTGTGTCCCTCAGCGACGGTGGACATCGGTTTGTTTTAAATGCAAATTGCCCCACTATAAAAATGGCCCAGTAAAAGTCCCTGGTGGTTTCATTGACTTAACCAACACTACTTCTAACTTTGTTTTTTTAGGCTTGGTAACATCCACGACATAGACCTGGGGCCTCCCCCTCCCATAATGAAGAGCTTCAAGGAGTTCCTGCTGTCTTTGGACGACTCTGTGGATGAGACAGAAGCAGTGAAGCGCTACAACGAGTACAAGACTGACTTCCGCCGGCAGCAGATGCAGGACTTCTTTTTGGCTCATAAAGATGAAGAGTGGTACGACCTGAGCGGCCTTTTAACCCAACTGTGAAATTTAGACGTACTTAACCAATTTTATTCTTATAGTTTCAAGTTTTATCACCAGAAGTAAAGCGTTTTTTTACTTGTTCGTTCATTTTCACTGTTGTTTTAGACGTAGTATTTTAAAAAGGAACAAAATTTCAGTTTTGTTCTACAGTGAAATAAAATGTAACAAATAAAATAGCTAAGTAAATTTGCATTTAAATAAGAGTAATTAGAGTCAAAGGTATTCTGCTGAGACTTTTAGTGTTTTTCAATTTGATATACAATTCACACTTGTATATTGATTTTTAATGCGTACTACTTGTTCCACAGGTGTCGTGCAAAAAAAATGTTTTGACCTAACCTGTTCTTCCTTCCCTCACTTCCATGTTGACAACGATTTTTTTTTTTAACCCGAGATGAAAAGTGGAACTCATCCGCACCAGTCGGGCTTCAGATAGCGAGGGCATGCACTGCGCACAATGCAGTTGCTCTTAGACACACAAGTACCAGGGACTTTAGAAAGATAGCCGACTTGTCCTCTACACATGGAGGCTTTTTTTCTTCTTTTCTATATTTTTTTTCCCCTGCATCATTTTCTTTTTATATTTGGATCAAATCGGGTCCCAAAACCCAATTTGTGTGTGTACAGACACACCCCTGGGGTGAAGTGGAGCGCATTTTGACAGAAGATACCCCTCTGTGTTATTATTTGTTATTAAACTGGCAGAGCAAAAGGTAACTGTGGTCCACTAAACATATTTAATGTTACAATATGCAAATGCTTGATTTTGAATAATGTTTCTCATAATGTCTGGGTGAGTAAATTTTGTTTTTGTTTATTAAATGTAATACATTTTCATAATTACAGTCTAGAACTAGGATCTACAGACCCCAAAATGTACAAATTAATGTACTTTCTTCCTCTAAATAGCCCAACACTTTGGGTTTAAATAGATTTTTTGGAAATCTCATTGTAAATCTCAAATCTATCAATATGATGTCCAAAATGTGGCTCAGGTGTGTAATATGTTTTCTGTAAATTTTGCATCCTGTCCATCCCAACCCCCGTCATTCCCTCCCCACTTTCATGTGGATCCCAACTCTGGACGCAGGTTCAGGTCCAAATACCACCCGGATGAGGCCAGCCGGCTTAAAGCAGAGGCTCAGAGCGCCCTGCACAACCGCCTGAATGTCTTTCTGTTCCTGTTGGACAACAGCTGGTTCGATAATGTGTCCATGGACATTGAGCAGACCCCGGCCATCATCAAGGTTCTGGATGCAGGTGAGGTTCTCGCACAGCTCTAAGAGAAATGTTGCCCTCCTCCTTGTTTTGCACTAACAATGCAGTGTGTTGTTCGCCCTCAGCTGTGATAAAGATGGAAGGAGGGACGGACCACGATCTTCGCATTTTGGACATGCCACCTGAAGAGGAAGTCAACAGGGAGAAGTCTGCAACTGTTTCAGGAGGAGCTGAATCTCCAAAGAAGGAAGACCTCAAAACACTGGCTGGAGACCGCAAACCCTCTGTGGAAAAAGACAAAACTGAGAAGGTGTGTATCATTTTTTATGTTCTCCTGTTAGCAAAGATGTCAGAGTTGTATTTATGACGAACAGCTGTGCTGCAGGAGGAGAGTGATTCTGCCGGCGCTGACGGAGAGGTCGCAGCAGACGAGGAGGATGTGAAAGAGGAGGCAAAGAAAGAAGACGTTAAAGAAGAAATGCCTGAACCCAAGAAGGTTTTTGTTGCTCGTATTAATAAAATGACTTGTTTGAAACAGCCCTGATTGCTTCTGTTTTCATTTAACAGGCGAGAAGAAAGAGGAAGAGGAGCGAGGACAGTGATGATGAAGCCAGCGCCTCGGAGAGCGACTCCGATTCAGATTCAGACTCCAACTCTAACTGCTCCGACAAACCTGACAGGAAGGAAGAGGCAGAGGACAAGGAGGAAGAAGCAGAGGACAAGGATGAGGAAGAAGAGGACAAGGATGAGGAAGAAGAGGACGAAGGTGAGGAATCCAGTTTGGTCATTCTGATTTTACTTTCAAAATGCTTTGAACTGATTTTTGTGTTTTGAGAGTTTGTAATTAGGATATGAACATGCAGCCTATTCTGCTTTTTATACGCTTTTATTCTTCTTTTTTATTTTCTATTCTGCTTTTTAAGGTGGAACGTAGAGTCTGTGCATCCGTAAACCAGTTGTGGGCACGGTTCTGCTAATAGTGGAGCTAACTTTCAAATTAGCATTTTCGCAAACTTTGAAAACCTTTGGTGGAATTGGCTTCTAAATTTTAATCCAGTAAATTCAAGTCCGCTAATTTTTCTAAAAGACAGTTGTCTGCACCAATAGTGTACAGGAGAATGGTGATTTACACAGAGCCATGCTGAGCTAATCAAAGCTAAGTGCCATCTGGTGATGTCACAGTACTATCCCCCCCATATCTTCTGCAAACAGCCTCTGACTCGTGGTGTCAGTTTACAGCCAATAACAGAGACTTTAACATGAAGTTAAAACAAACATGAACAGTAAAATAACATGAACAAAAAAACAGTTTTCACACTGTCTCTGGGATGTGACTCTCTCACCCATTTCACACATTTTTACTTTAATACAGATTTATTACTGAGAATACTGATGATGACACACAGTAACTTTGTAGTTCGTTTGTGAAAGCACCACGAAGAGGATCACCAAAGTGAGTCGTCGTAGTAAATTGCATGATGTCCGACACACATTGAATGCACCACTCTGCTTCAGCACAGCAGAGTTCTGCTCCACCTCTTTCATTCCGATGGACCAGATTAATTTCTGAAAGCTCACCTCTGAACAGGACATGGATGATGTACTTGTGATTTATGAACCGTTTCGAGTTGTGTTCACTTACGTTGTCATATTACAGACAGTCTTGGTGTCAGCAACAGCAGTGGATGGAAAACGTTAGCACTTTAGTGTTAGCGTCCGATCTTTTTTTCTCTCTAGGTTTAGCATTAGCTATTTTTTGTAGTAGCTCTGCCCAACGTTTTCTTGTCCCACCCATAACTTCTGATCCATTCAAGATCATTTAGCAAAACTTCTTACACAGATTCATCATCACTAGCGGGAGTGTCATGTACACTTTTCATCACCCAGCTTCACTGTCAAGGTCACAAATCAAGGTCAAAGTATTTTCTTGTCCGAGCCATTACTGTTTTGCTGTATAATTATTTAACGGGCGTATAATGTGTTGTATTCTTTATTCTCGTTATCTAATGTCTTAGAAGAAAAGGAAAAGCCTGAAGTAGACGAGAAAGAAGAGAAGAAGGTCAAAGACGACTCTCCCAGACCGCGGCCTCTTCACAAGACTTGTTCTCTGTTCATGAGGAGCATTGCTCCGACTATTTCCAAGGCTGAGATTATCGCTGTGAGTTGAACCAACACTTTATAGACCACTCATATATTTAATTGTTTATGTGCTTCTCTGACATCATTTTTTTTCCCAAAGCTGTGTCGGCGGTACCCTGGTTTTCTGCGTGTTTGCTTGTCTGACCCTCATCCAGAGCGCAGGTTAGCTTAAAAAAAATAAAGACATTCTCTTGATTTACTTCAGAGAATGGAATAAAAAGTGAATCCTGTCTTTAAAAAAAAAAAATCCAGGTTTTTCAGACGCTGCTGGGTGACGTTTGACCGAAGCGTCAATATCAAGGAAATCTGTTGGGACCTACAGAACATACGTGTAAGTGTCACAAACAATATTTGGGTCAAACATTTTAATCTGTGGTGTTTTTTTTTTTAAATCTCTTTAAGGATTGGTTGTTTAAACATCAAATACATCAAAGTTTAGATTGATCTATTTTTTATAAGACTTGGCCCTGTTAGATTTTTATTCCTACTATCTTTGAGATTTTTTAAATCATTTGATCAAAACTGCAATTAAAGCATTTATTCAGTGACTTGTTTTTTTATTTGTGTGAGTTTTGAGCTGGTTGTTAAATCTGTCTTTCCCCCTTTTTTTTTTTTTTTTTTGCTCTTAAAAGCTTCGAGACTGTGAACTGGCTCCAGGGGTGAACAGGGATTTGGCTCGCAGGGTGCGCAACATTAATGGTATCACTCAGCATAAACAGGTGCTCCGCAACGACATCAAGCTGTCTGCAAAGCTCATCCATGCTTTGGATGAGAAGGGGAGCCTGTGGAGCAGCAAGCCTCAAGAGGACGGCCAGTCGGAGGTGTGCCCATCAGAACATTTCATGCAAAGTTAATGAATTATGAAGTTTTTAGCGACTCATTCAAGTACGCTTTTCTTTCCTAACAGTTGCCAGCTCAGAATCCGGTGCTGAAGAATATCACTGACTACTTGATCGAGGAGGTGAGCGCTGAGGAAGAGGAGCTCCTGGGCTCGGGGGGTGGATTGGATCCTGAGGAGAGCACCAAGGAGGGAAACCCGACTGAGATGACCGTGGAGAGGGACGACAAATTAGCCAAGGTTGAGCATGGCTCCAAATGAAAACATTTTTATTTTTGTTTTGATGCCTTTTTGGCTGTATTGTGAATAATATATATATATTTGTCAGGTTTTGGATCGTTTGATCTTGTATCTGCGGCTCGTGCATTCAGTGGACTACTACAACACGTGTGAATACCCGAGCGAGGATGAGATGCCCAATCGCTGCGGCATGATCCACGTTCGTGGACCGATTCCTCCCAACCGCATCACACAAGGAGAGGGTCAGTGTGCACAACACTGAGATTAAATGCACTTATTGTCAAACTGTGCGGCACTGAATGAGTATCTACATTAATCTTTGCAAACATTTTAACGTTTGAATTGGCAGTAATGTGTAATTGCTGTTTTTGTAACCAAATAAGATTTTAGTTAATAGCATGATTGGTGTCTGATTAAAATAAGCTTCATTAAGCTATGTTTAGAGCAACACATTGACAGAAGTTACTTTTGTTGCTCTTATTAGTGAGCAGTCAGGAGTCATATGTAATGTGTTAATATTGTTTAAAAAATGCATATTTGCTTTATGGCTATTGTAGCCCAATGAGAAATGTTTAAAGCCACATCTGTATTACTGATGTTTCACCACTACGTGTCACTACATCCTTCACACTGACATGACTCACATGTTTTGTGCTCCTGCTGTTTTCCTTACACAGTGCAACAGTGGCAGAAAATGATGGAGGAGAAGTTGGCTCCTTTGTTCAGTTTAAAAGAAGTCCTGTCTGAGGAAGAGGCAGTGAAGATGGGTCGTAAGGACCCCGAGGAGGAGGTGGAGAAGTTTGTGTCTGCCAACACTCAGGAGCTGGGAAAAGACAAGTGGCTCTGCCCTCTGAGCGGCAAGAAATTCAAGGTGAGCGTCAAAGCTGTGGTGACATTTCAACTTAAATGTTTTGATGCTTTCAATTTATTCATTTTAAATTAATTTTAAGGGTCCAGAGTTTGTACGGAAGCACATTCTGAACAAACACGGGGACAAAATTGAGGAGGTGAAAAAGGAGGTTGTGTTTTTCAACAACTTCCTGATGGATGCCAAGAGGCCGTCGCTTCCTGAGATCAAACTTCCACCCCCTCCTGGACCAGGGCAAGGTCGGCCACGCCGTTTCTCAACTCTTCATGTGGATCCTTTGAACTTGGACAGTGTCTGTGTAAAAATCCAAAAATGTCTTCTCCCCCCACAGGTTTGCTTTCTCCTGCTTTGCCTTTTCCTCCCCAAGGTCCTCAGGGTCCGATGGGTTTTGGTCAGCCTCGTCCACCTCTGATGGGATACGGCGGTGTGTTCCTGCCTACGTGTGTTCTGATAGCCAGAATGTTTCTCTCAGTCAGGCTTTAATTTCTGAATTCTTTGGTCACAGTTGGGCCTCCTTACCCACCCAGTCAGTTTGGAGGAGGCAGAGGAAACTATGACAACTTCCGCGGTCAAGGTGGCTACCTGGGAAAGCCACGCATCAGGTAAGTCCAGTTATAGATTACATTTTTGGACCCCCATTGAAAGGTGGATGTATTATGATAGTCATCCGTCCATAAACTTAAACAAGGTAAAGTTTAAACTTAAGGTCAAAGTTATAACAAGGTCTTAGCTTGTCTGGGCCGTTGCCATAGATTGTTGTTGATGGGAGTATATTGTGCTGCACGCGGTACTCTTGTTGATTATGCATCAAGTCATCTCTTATTTCTGCTGTTAGGGTAGGGATTATAAACTTTGTTTTTTAAGCTCCTTCTTGTTTCTCATTCTTGCCTCCTTTAATCCTGATCCATTTCAGAATGTCCCGAGGCGATCCACGGAACATCATCGAGTATCGAGACCTGGACGCACCTGACGATATGGACTTCTTTTAGAGAGTCCGCTCAGCCCTTCCTACCTTTACTCCATCACAGTGTTTTGTTCTGCCTGTTTTTGTAGTACGTAACATTATTTCTTTTCATAAGCATTTCATTTTGTAAGGATTGTGCAACTTCAAGATGCTTCTGTACTGCTGTAAACTGATTCATCAATAAAGTTGAGACCAAGTAAATGTCTCCCATGTTTGACTTGCGCAAACGACACAAAGAGTTGATAAAATAAAATAAAAAATCCACCCAGGAAGTTCCTCCGTGACACATCAAACCCATATCAGGGCGCTGAAGAGCCTGACTAATATTTTAATTTCACGTTTCTCAGAAAATTCACAGATTTCAGTTTATTCCAATAAAAAAAATGTAATTTGTTTTCTGTTCTTTACACACTGACACTGAATATTTAAACTGCAAACCAAATGAGAAATAAGGCTTCAAACAATCATTAAACCAATAATTTATTAGTTAAACTAGGTTTTTTATTGTCTAGATCACAAACAAATACAAAAGCATGTTGCACCATTTACAACATAATCTGTTTTATTCAAAACTATCACAACTACATAATGGTCCTCAAATTATAATCCATGTTAAAAACTTGATTTTTTTAATAGGAAAACATCTGCAGATATTGCGTTGTATACTAACAAAATGTTTAATTTTTATAACCTGTTGCGACGGGGACACCAGGAAAAGAACTGATTTATCAAAAAGCTACATCTTCATTTTAGATGCCAATTTAATAAAAGAACGACTTGTGGGACAAATGCTGGAATTTAAACCATTAGACCTATTAACAGAATTGTAACAAGACGTGTAATTATCTGATTAACTTCACTTCTATCATGTTCACAAAGCATGTTTAGTGAAACGGTTGCAGTTAAGAAAATAAGGCAAAAACACCAAATTTTCCAAGAAGTCCCTTTTAAGTTTAAAGCTGAAAGAAGATTGATAATATTGATGAAGAATTTTAGCTTTAAGAGGGCTCATAAGGTAAACAACATGAATAATGAGGACTTTAAAATGTGTCATGGGCAGGAAAAATATTAAATACTTCCAAGAGATCAACCACTGGAAGACGGCGAGTTAAAACTATAAATAGATGCTAAACATCGAAAAGATGCTGTGTTTCACATAATATCTGACAGCTGGAAACAGCTGTGCTGCACTTATTTTACCTGCTAATAATTTAAACCTTGTCTTCCAGTTGAGTTTAGAAGGTTTGGTTCTTGTGTGGATTATAACACGACAACTTTTCTTTACAGACTATCTACAAAAGTAGTGAAAACTGAACAGTTCGCTTAAAAACAAAATGTAAACCAGCGTGATTTTATAAAAACACGAGCATGAAACGTTTCAAATAACGGTGTGCTCTCTGGGAAATAAAATCCTAATCATAAACACATCTTGACAGATTAAACTGGGTTTATTTCACCTTTTTATATCTATATAAAGATTTATTTTTCCATATAAACACTAAAATTAACCACATTTAGTCACTTTCAAACTACAAACAAAGTGTTTTACTGGAATTTATTAATAGACCAGTAGTTGTGAACTGGAAGGAAAATAAATGTTGTTGTTTTTTATTAACAAATAAAACTGAAAAATATGGCGTTTGTTTACAGTTAGCCCTTTTCACTTTGATTAAACCCACTTCAATTTATTTGACATCTTAGTAAACAGAGGCCTCCTGTGTGTAATTTAATCTCAGTAAGATTAGAGTTGCTCTGCGACGGCATCAGAGATTTGTTACAGAACAATAGTGATCAAACAGCATTATGAAGCCCAAGGACCACACTGGACAGGTGAGGGATAGTTGTTGAGCAGTTTAAAGCAGTAAACCAAGTGTTCATCTTCCCTTTTCTTCCCAATAGTTTAATTTGAGCCAACTCATAAAATCCCAGGAAATCCTTTGAAGTTTGTGTTTTGTGTGACAAAAAGTGTAAAAGTTGTACAATACCCTCCAGCTGCCCTTGGGTCAAAATAGCACCCAAGGCCTTGGAGGATGTGTGGATCATTTTAACCCAAGGGCAGCAGGAGGGCTACACAATCCTGGAAATGGTAGAAATGTGCATTTTCTGAAAAAAGCTTCCAAATATTTGTGAAAGCAGACTTGTACTCCTGGTTTCTCCACTGGAGGCAGCAGTTTTAACGTTGACGAGCGAAGACTAAATAATCCGAAGTTTGTGGTTCTCAGAAAGTCCACAGCTGACCTTGTGTTCATGAAATAATTTGGTCAGAGCCTCCATGTAGAGGCGGTGATAACGATCAACCTCCTCCTCGGTCGGTGCGACGCACTTCGGCACTGAGATTGGACTTCCCACTGAAAAGACATTAATTATCAGAGCATGGGCTCAGTGCATCAACTACTGGTGGTATTAGTGGATAAAAATGAAATGCTCACCAACGGTAGTGACCGGAGCCCTGTAGGGCAAGAGTGCAAAGCGCTCTCCGACAAACAGACACGGGGCGAAACCCATTAGCTTTTTAAATAAGTCCTGCAGCCTGCGACCCAGACTCTCCTCTGAGAAAACCACCTGCTGGAACAGCTCATTCTCCCCGAAGGAGTAAACTGGAACCAGATCAGCTCTGTGGAAAACCAGCAGACGCTATGGACATTATTGCAGCAGTGATGAATAAAAGTAAATGTTTTTCTCTGCGTATTCTCACCCAAACTCAAGAGCTATCCTGACAAAGCCTTTTCTCTGCTTCATGACCAACGTGTTGACTCCAGGAGAGGAGGCCAGAGACTCAGCAGCACCCCCCACCACGATCACCACCGCATTCCCTTTGCCGTTTTTGGACAGGAGGTGGACGAGGCTTGCTCTGCTGACCGGACAAAGACCTTAACACACACAAAGTAAGAGTCAGGTGTAGAAATACGGGTACTATTTGAACAGTTTGTGTTTTTGTAGATTTTTTCAGTACCTGCACTCATCAGGTACTCTCTGAAGAGCGGTAACTTGAAAAGGCCTGCCAGTATGGCCAGGGTGGACTTGATCCCAGGATACGCCTCGGCAAAGCCGCAGCTCTCGGTGCTGAAGCAGGCGAACCCTCCGGCGCTCATGATCCCATGTGGATGGATGCCAAAGATGTAGTTTTTCTTTGGACTCAGTTCTGCTGTCTTCACCAGCTGAGCAGAAAACATTACCAATGTAGCTGATCAGTCAGATTCTACCAGTAATCAGAAAACCAAACCCACTTTTACTGCACGTTATCAGACTGTGAGGAGATAAAGAGCCAAGTTTTATGTTGACCAGCTAATGAACGTGTTTATAACCTTTGAAATAAAACGTTTATGTAATAGATCCATAGTCCTGATCAGGAATTAAAACTGGGCTGGAACATTCCATGTCATTTGTGCACATTACACATCTCCTAAATGTTCTAAACATATTGGTGAGCAGATTGAAACTGCATGCAAGTGATTTTAATTAACCCATCAATGTTCAGTCAGGTCATCTGGATGGTTTCTTTATGCTGCTGAGACGTTTTGTCCTTCATCCAAAGGACTTCATCAATCCGAGGAGCCGCAAACAAAGTCAGTCCCACAAGTAGCACACTCCCATAGTGGGAAAAAACAGTTTGCTGGTGATAAGATGATTTACAGATATCCATAACAGACATTTGGATTATTGACCATGAACTTAGATGTTTTGAACCATTTTAGCTATGGCTGCCTCAAAGAAGTTGATGGGGGAGAGGGCGGGCCCCAGAAACTATTTTATCACAAACAAACAAGTTTTTTATTTTCCACTATGGGAGTGTGCTGCTTGTGGGACTCAGTTTGTTTGTACCTCCTTGGACTGATGAAGTCCTTTGGATGAAGGACGAAACGGCTCAACAAAAAAATAAACCGTCCCGATGACCTGACTGAACATTGGATTTTTTTCATCTGGATTATTGAGCATGAACTTGGATGAAGATTTTAATTAATGTAGAACCCAAAAGGACAACCAGCGGTACGCTGATGTCCCCTGTCGCTGAGGGATTTGAAAAGTGAATGTGTGCAGTTTTTGAGACTAATGTTTTTTCTGGACTGGAACTGGTCAGAGAATGAAAGTAAACCTTGATGTTTTAGGTGTATTCAAGTGGGTAGAAGTTTCGCTGGAGAAGACAGAGGTGGGTTATATTATATATATTTCTGCTGGTCCTAGGCAGTGCAGAGAGCTGGATCCTGATAAGGAGAGGGATGATAATAATAATAATAATCATTTTATTTAAAAAGCGCCTTTCATGACACCCAAGGACACTTTACAGTAAGAACAAAGATCAACAGGAATAAATTACTTAAAGAATATAAAATACATAAAGAATATAAAATACATACAGAACATAAAATGCATACAGAATATAAAATACATACAGCAAAGTTAAGGATAAGCGAGTCTAAAGAGATGTGTTTTCAGAGCAGTCTTGAATATAGAAAGAGAGGTGGTGTTTCTTAAGTCAGGGGGTAGAGAGTTCCAGAGATGACTGGCAGAGCAGGTGAAGGCCCTGCTCCCCATGGTGGAGAGGCGGGCAGAGGGTACATGGAGGTGTAGTGAAGAGGAGGATCTGAGAGAGCGAGAGGGGATGGAGATGTGTAGGAGGTCAGATAGGTACGGAGGGGCAAGGTTGTGGATAGCTTTAAAAGTGAGAAGAAGAATTTTGAAGACGATGCGTGATTTAACCGGGAGCCAGTGGAGCTGCTGCAGGACTGGAGCGATGTGGTTATAGGAGGAGGTTTGAGTGATGACACGGGCAGCTGAGTTCTGGACCAATTGCAGCTTCTGGAGAGATTTGTTGGGGAGGCCATAAAGAAGGGAGTTGCAGTAGTCAATCCGAGAAGTCACAAGACTGTGAACAAGGACGGCTGTGGAGCGGGGTGTGAGAGAAGGGCGGAGACGGTTAATATTTCAGAGATGGAAATAGGCAGACCGAGTGACGTTGTTGATGTGTGAAGTGAAGGAGAGAGTGGTGTCGAAGATGACACCAAGACTCTTGACCTGAGGCGAGGGGGATAGCAGAGAGTTGTTAAGGGGGATGAGAAGATTTTCTGGTTTTGAAAGAGAGTTTTTGGTACCAACAAGAATGATTTTTTTTTTTGTTACTGTTTATTTGTAGGAAGTTGTTAGAAAACCAGTGATTTAGCTCATTGAGACAGTCGGTGAGGATGGAGGGTGGGTGGGTGGTTGGAGTTTGGTTTTGTTGACAAGTAGAGCTGTGTGTCATCAGCATAACAGTGAAAATGGCCACCAAATTTACGGAAGATGTGACCTAGAGGAAGGAGGTAAATGATGAAGAGGAGGGGTCCGAGGACAGAGCCTTGGGGGACACCCGTGGAGACGGGGGAAGACTGGGAACGAAAGGATTTGAGCTGAATGAATTGAGTGCGGTCAGAGAGATATGATTGGAACCAGTCTAACTGAGTACCTGAGATGCCAATGGAGGTTAGTCTGTTGAGGAGGATAGAATGACAGATTGTGTCGAAGGCAGAACTTAGATCCAGTAAAATGAGGATAGACAGAAGAGCAGAGTCATCAGCAAGAAGAAGGTCATTAGTTATTTTTATTAGAGCTGTTTTGGTGCTATGGTGGGGGCGAAAACCAGATTGAAACTCTTCATAAATGTTATTGTTGGATAGGTGAGAGTGAAGTTGACTAGCAACGGCTTTTTCAAGAACCTTGGAAATGAAGGGCAGATTAGAGATTGGACGAAGATTACTGAAGTTGGTAAAGTCAAGACCTGGTTTCTTGATGATGGGGGTGATGGCCGCAGATTGGAAAGCTGTGGGAACAATGCCAGAGGTTAGGGAGGAGTGGATGATGTTAGTGATGATGGGGAGCAGAGACGGGAGACAGGATTTAACAAGAACTGTGGGAAATGGATCGAGCTGACAGGATGAGGACTTAGACTTGCCGATAATGTCAGCAATGTCATGAGCAGAGGGGAGGGAGAAGACAGAGAGGGGGGGGGGGGGTTTCAACATAGATGCTGGGGGCAGTATTAGGTCCAAGGTGTTTATGAACTGAAAGAATCTTTTCATTGAAATAAGACATCAAACCACCAGGTACAATCACAGAGCCAAGGGGTGGCCATTGGTGGCCTTGACCCCATAGATTAATCTTCAGCCACCCCACCAGCCACACCAATTATGAGGAAAGTATTATTTTGAGCAAAATAAAAACTAGAAAGCAGTTTCCTCAAATGATAAGGGTGGCCACTTTACATATTTGCGTGTGTGGTCATCATGGATTTTAACGTGGCAACCCATCCATCCATCCATCATCTTTACCCGCTTATTCCATTTTGGGTCACGGGGGTCGCTGGTGCCCATGTCCAGCAATCACTGTGCGAGGGGCGGGGTACACCCTGAACAGGTCGCAAGTCCATCACAGGGCCAACGTGGCAACCCAACTTTTGAAAATAAACTTTCTTACATCTGGATGCAGCTGCACACCAAAAAGGAAGTTGACTTGTTGCTTATTTTTCAAATTAATGCGCTCACAACATGCCCGTCTGCACAAACGGACAGTATTTTCAAATCCCCCTTTATCGAAATTAACCCCTTTTTTTGTCTCCCATTGGGATGAAGTTTGCATGATTTACTTTTCTATTGTTTCAGTGCAGTCATCATGAAAACGAAATATCAATTTTTTTCTCACCATCTGTCATCTGTCTTTGAATTTTAGGCCAAAAACACATAAAAAAAAGTTTAAACAGAAGCAGTTTAAGGTTAGCCAGAATGATTAGGAAGTAAGCAACTTTCAACTTTAAGCAGAGCTGTCATTTACGAATGGCCTTGAACGCTGTAGCCAATGGATTACTTAAAAAACTTTTGTTCATTGCTAAGATACAGAGATAAATTCATAAATGCCTCTGGAAAATGAACAGCACCAAACAGAAGCCCTGTGTTAACTCTGTCCAGAGGCAGTATAAACCTCTCTGAATGAACATCATGCAGTGAAAATGAGGCTGAAGGGCAGACAAGTCCGTTTTCCTTCGGTTGCTTGGAAGAATTGGACCATGTGCTTCAAAAAATAGGTCATCCAGATTGTTTTCAGCCACAAGTCCCAGCGCCAGGCTCTGTGATAGTATGGGGTGGTGTCAGTGCTGGCAAAGCTCATTTACACCTCTGTGTAGGCAGCATTAATGCAAAAAAATACACAGAGATTTTAGAGCAACATATGGTGCCTTCAAGGACACATTTCATCCATGGATCTTCTTGGGTTTTTCAACAGGATTATGTCAGACCTGTACGTTTCAAACAGGAGTGAAGAAGTTGTTACAGGAAACTGTCCTGTCTTCAAACATGGTGGCAACCTCATATTGTTGCACTTTTTATTTTAATCATTTATTAACCTTTATTTAACCAGGCCAAGCCCACTGAGCTCACAGATCTCTTTTGCAAAGGAGGCCTGGACATGAAGGCAGCCTAACATGCATGTTTTGGGTCTGTGGGAGGAAAACAGAGTACCTGAAGAAAACCTACACAAGCCCCAAGAGAGCATGCAAACTGCACACGGAAAGACCCCAGGTCCAAACCGGGGATTGAACCCAGGGCCGTCTTGTTGTGAGACTACAGTACTAACCACTGATCCATCATGCTGCCAATTTTTAAACATGTTTGCATGAGTTATGGAACAAAAAAATAAATGCCCGAGTGAGTCGTTGTGTTTTGGGTTGAACATTTTTCTCTTGATGCAACATTCCAAAGTAGGAAACTATTTTTGATTTATGGTACTTAGTCTGGGTCATATTTTGCAATCAAATGTAATCAGACTACATTGTATAATGTTGCTAAATCTGAGAGGAAAAAGTGCTTAATCAAACCTACTTTAATTGGAAAATAGTCTCTGAAGTGTTCCCAAACCTTCCACTTCCTCACAAATGCTGTTCTTCTGCCCCCTGATGGACACAAAAACAATCTTAGAGACACCGAAGGAGTCCCAGTTTTGAACTGTTGTTGAAGCACATTTAATCACTTACAATCACTTTCTAATTAAACAGACAGATTTAATAAATGACGCTGAATAAAGAGTCTATATTCAAGTTTTTCATGTCTTGTTATCCTATACCATTGCTACATGGAAGACAAACAAATGAGCCGAGCTGATGTAACGTTTGCCTTCTGGGAGAAACTTCAGCACATTGATTGGATCATCCGGAAGGACGTTCTGCTCTGCTTTAATTGGTTGTTTTGCCACAGAGCTTCAATTCATTTTCAAGCAAGTGGCGCTACTTTAAGAATTTAAACATTATGCATAGGGATGCACAATATTATTGGCATGGTATTGGCCGATATTAGCGATAAAGCTAAATATCTGACATCGGCCATTCCATCGAAATAACTCACCGATATAAAAGGCACTATTGTATATTTATAAAGTGTTACATTATTTTCAGTCCCCCTTTTGGCATCTGCATTTGGTAGCAGGCCATAGTGACAAAGACCATGCAGAATAATGTAGTATTTTAGTTTCACAGCAGAGAAAGCTCTGTATCTGTTATCAGCCAAACAAGTTTTAACATATCAACATATCAGATATCGGCCAAAAATCCAATATCGTGCATCCCTAATTATGCAGAAACTAAACACGTTAGTAACTAAGTATCATGCAGCCAGCTCTAAATGTTAAAAGTCTCTGAACTGCCATGTGCATCATACCTTTCATTAAAAGCATTGAAAATGTGTGCAAGTCTATGTAACGTCATTAAATAGAAGTTCTAAATTATCATCCTGACAGTCATTATGTCAAAATTAGTAAATTTAGGGAAAACATACAAACATGAAAATACCTTTTTCAGGGGTGTACCAGTCCACTACCATCCACACAAAGTACAGAGAGGCCAGCGGCCACAGGGACGTAAACATAAGATACACCATCAGGATTAAACAAGCCACTCCTGGAGTTGGACGATCCACGGGAGTCCATGCATCGAGGGTCACAAGAAACGTCTCGTATGAGCTCATGTAGAATTATTATTGACGCTTCTGTGTGATCGAGTCTTACCCAAAAAAAGAAAGCTCAGCACCCATTGAAGAACACTTATCGCTTCTATAAACTCCTTCTTCTGAGTTTTTTCTTTAGTCATGCTTGCAACCTGGAGGTCAGAGCATATGGCAATGAATTAAATTGTAAATTGGTATGGGAGAATAATGCTTGTAGGTAATTGAAGATATTTAAACAGATCATAGATGTCTTTATGACTGAGAATAAACTGCACTGATTATTAGCTTGTGTCCTCTGTCCTCCGTTTGGAGGAAAAAAAAACAAGAAATACTTTGTGGCATTCAGCAGCCTGATCAAATGACTCACTCATGAACAAGCTGTCAGGCAAACTCATACACGCAATTAATGATCTGCCCAGAAATAAAACTTTTATTAGTCCGGCTGTTTGGTACACAACAACAGCCTTGGCCTGCGGCGATCACAGCAACCCCTAAACAACTATTCTGATCATTCTGTCCAACAGAGAAGACAATACTTTACCTTAGTGGAGTATTTTCTGAGGTTAATTTCAATGGATGAACTCACACTGTGCTTTTCACAGTTCGCCACATTGCACTTTGACCAGATCACCTACTGAGAAGCGGCTGATAACAAATCCACTCCCCCGATACTTTGACATGCTCACTGTGTCAGAGATAAACACTTTTACAGTTTTCTACTCTGCATAATGGATCTTTGGAGCATCATCAGAATGGTTTTATGATTAGATTATTGTTGCTTTATGTATGATGTGTCCCTGTTTGCTCACTCCAGCGGTCTAAAAAGATTACGTAACAATCTGTTCGCTTAATACCATGCAGTCCTACTGAAACTTTCAGATGTGACAACTTTAGCACATGATGTCCTGACTTGTTAAAATCCATTAAGTACGCTTCTTACAAAAAGTTATTCCCTTTTGCTAACATATTAAAAATGTAGTATGAGTCACGGCTTCTCTCTTGTCAGAAATAATTGATCAAAATTGATTTTGTTACCAGACGTTTGCTCAAAACTACATGATTTTACTGGGACAAGAGAGTGAATCTCAGTCGTGGTCGCAGGTGTTTCACAAAACAGGTTACAGGAAGTAGAAAGGCTTCTGCCTACCTGAAGGTATTTAAAGTAAAATGCACAGAGGAAGAGTCAAACAAGCAAATACAATAAAAAAACTGCTTAGATGTGATAAATGAGAGGCTTAAGAACATGTTCAGATGGTCAGTTTATCTTGTAAACTCATATTTATGTTTAAATACGACAGAAAATCCCAGAATGAACATTTGAAGCATTTTGCATACATATGCAAAAGGCCCTCCTCCCTCATATTTATTCAGATGAAATGGCACAGACTTATTTTACTTGAGGCCTTAAAGGGGTGTTCAGCTGATTATTTTTAGTTGTTAATTATTATTGTGTGTGCAGTTTGTTTCAGGTGTGTAACTGAAAGGGTAAGAGCCATCCATCCATTTTCAATCACTTATCCGAGGTTGGATCGCATATGCAGCAGGTGTAATCAGAATCAGCTTTATTGTCATTGCACCAAAGCAACAAAATTACATTTCAGTACAGCCTGTTGGAGTAAAACATAAACAATGACATGGGGAGACGGAGGTGTCTGAGGCCGCGGTCCATGGGAGGTGCTGCTTTTTTCGTTTAGATACGAAAAGAGAAACATGAGGGTAGGAGAGGTATAAAAAAAATCATATCTCTCACTCTGTCCTAGACAGGAAACAGTATGAAAGTTGCAACAAAAAAACAAACCTTGACATAGAAGCAGCAACATTCTGATGACATCATGATACATATGTGCATGAAGAAGGCCGACGAAGGTGGTGAGTTGTCCATGGACACTGCCAGATTGTTCCATAGTCCTGATAAGAGATGGTGCAGTGTCTATCAGCCGGCTCAGCTCTGATACAGGTCCACAGATGTCCTCGGGAAGGGAGTAGGTAGGGAAGGGAGGAGCAGTGCTTCTTGCTCACATAACATCCAGGAGAGTTTGAGATGGTTGGCCAATTCAAGACCGACACGGGGGAGCCACATTCAGATAACAACAGTTATTTTGGATCAGGCAGACTCTGCTTGATTTCTGTCTGCCTTATCGTTCTACTGGTACGTCTCAATGGCGACTTCAAAACAGCCAAATTTTGTGGTCAATATCACTGGGCCGAGTTTGAAGCTTCTCCAAGGTTGATTCCTTCTCGCCAGCGAGTTTCAGGAGCCGCAAGTGGCCTGTGACTCTCAGAAATCACGTCCAGGTTACGGCTCAGCTCACACAGCATCTGAGTCTGAGTGCTCACCACACGGCAGCCTCACAATGGCCAGAACAGCTGCCAACATTTTCTGTATTTGTCGATATGCCAGGTAACCACCAACTCCAAAAAGCAGAAATCCTGTTATCATAAATCAAATTATGCACACATCTTCTACATCCTCAACTGACAATACAGATAGACATACGATCTTCCACTGCCCCCAGGAATCCATTGTGTATCCAGCTGCAAGTGTACCGACAGGGCAAGAGGGCTCTCCTTTGCCATGTCTTCTCGTCGAGAAAATTTTATCAATTGCTTTGAGAGGCCAGCTGACCAGATCCATGATTTACAATTTGGAAGATATGTAGAGAGAGGCTCCGATAGGGTTCACAGGACAAAGAACAAAGCAGGAGGGGAGCAGGAGCGGGAGGGAAAAGCATCCGCCTTCATCGAGAGCAAGCAGGAACAAGAGTGAAACGTAGACATCCTCCTCTTCAGCAACAGTGAATGGCTGAGTAGAGGATAATTACGTTCTGTGGATTTTCTTGTGGTTCCAAAATCAACGAAGGCCACGAGGATCCTGTAAACACAGGTAACACAGGTTAAACTTGTTCTCTCAAAGATAATGTGATTACAAAACAAATGCACAAGGATTGTTGGTTAATTCACTGTGAGGCAATGAACAGTCCAACGAAGACGCATGGTTTCACTCAGCCTTAAGTAGAAGGAGGATAATCAGCCATTATGGGAGATGGTAATAAAGCTGGCACCGCTCACTCCCAGTATCTGCAGCTGGCGGTAAATGGATAAAAAGGGGGCCAAAACATCAGTCAGTCCTGGTGAAGTTGGACTTGCTCTATAAAAGATGTCGACTTTGTGCCTTGAATGCGGACAAAACGTTCACTTTGGGTCCCTGGTCCCATTATACAGGGATCAGACAGTCCACAGGAGTAACTCCAGCGCCCTGTACTCCCACTGCAACCCCATCAAAATTCTTCACGAAACACAGTCATAAATCTTTTTCAGATTAAAACACACGGATTGAAAAAAAATGTACATGACTCCTTTATCATGTCTGCAAGAGTGAAGATATGATCCAGCGATGAAAGCCACACTGCTCCTTGGTCAGAGTCTCCAACACTACAACTTTATCTAACACTGTTCAAGCCAAAGTGTGCAATGGTGTTAAAGAGACGTTTTTAGTTATCAGCAAGTTAAATCAATACTGAATACAAACCATAGGTTAAAATGTACATACGTGCACTGTAAAACACTGAATACTAATAGACCAACTACAAATGTTCAGTGAAAGGTTTCACAGTGCATCTTTACTCAATCACAACACATTCCCAGGATAAAGTATTGTCTTGATAAACATTACACCTCCTGGTGTAAAAACTAGACGTAAATTTCCTGCTGTGTGGCTGCTCTCACCAGGGGGGACATTAGGACCAAGCACAGAGATTATCTTTAGGCACTGATGCACTTTCTGCACGGGTACGCAATGTTCTGCAGAATGTATGTTCTCATGTTTTGACTCTTACAGCTGATGGTTGGCTAACGGTGCCTCTAAAATCCTTGATCGGTCTCTGATTCTCACATGGAGTGATTTCTAAAGGGCTGATTGTTCAAACTTTGTTTTTAAATATCCGCTTCTCCACTTTTTGGTTTATTTTGTTTAGAGATAATTTTGTGGTCTTATTGGTCATGGGACACCTCCTCCCTAAAACCAAAAATGTGGTGAATTTTACCTCGAGAAAAGAAGAAATGAAGAATATGTTGCACTCAGTCGAGGTTTCTGTAAAATCTTTTAGTGTTTTGTCATGAGACACCCCCCCCCCCTCCCCATTCTTTTAACTGGCTTTCAGCTCACATTGCTGCATTCAGCGTGAAGCTTATGGTGCATTGAAGTAACTTTAATCTGTTTATGAGTCTGTTTTCACATTCTGCAGGTTGGAACAAAGCTTGCAAATTTTGCATCACAGTACGGCTCGATTGGGGATGATGTGACGTTTAGTGGAGGTAAATCATCCAGCATGGATTAAATTGACAACAAATGCAAGGAATTTCTTTATATGCTAAGATATTTTTTATGAAGCGAGTTAAAAACAAAAAAACAGCACTCTTTAGATCTCTATAACACAGCCCAATAGAAACACCATTTAAAATTTTAACAGGTCACAGAAAGAATGACTTTACATGACTGAACTGGCATTTTGATACATTTTAAATATTTTCTACAATCGTACTTAAAGTTTGATACATTTAGAAGATGTTCAACTACGTGTGATGTCACTTTTTTACTTTTTGAGCTCTCTAAACTTTCTAAAATTTTGCTAACATTTTTTTACTCAAAACTTTTTTTAGTTCATGCACAAATTTTTCATCAAAGCATAAACAACTTTGCTTTCTTTCACCCAGTGTCTCTCTTTGTTTCTTAAATCTCTTTAGAGTGCACACCCTCACTTTGACTTCAATAAAAAAATCACCGTAATACCACTTGGTTGCTGATACGTGCTGCTGACTATCCATGATGCTGATCTCATGCTGCTGATTTATTTCACGCTGCTGTGTTCATTCGTCCTCATCTGCTCACACAGGCTCATGTTCGTGCTGCTGTTGTTTGACACATTGTTTTGTACTAGTAGTGCTTAATGTATTCTTAGTTTAGCATATTTCTTAGATCTCATTAATGTTATTCTTTACAATTTTTATTTTTGTTGGATGTAACTGAGACCCTTTAGTTTCGTTCCAACTACCACATGATGTGAATGAATCCTTGAATTACATTAGCTCTAATTTTCACTTCTAAACTGGAAACAGAATATTTTTTAATCTGTCATATCTCTGATTTAAAACAGAAACATAAAAAAAATCACTCATTCACCTTTAAAGTCGTTCAAGAATTTTAAAGATTTTACATAAAGGATTTGCACAGCGCCTGTTTGTTTGAGGCTTTCTTTTCAGTCTGTTTCTGTCTGCCTTTAAGAGTGCTGGGGGGGTGAGGGTTGTTACCATGGTGACCACAGTGAGCAGCTGGCAGCAGCTTTAACACTTCCTGGTTCTCCATACAGTTTATATGAAAACATGTTGTCTTCTTATTTCTGATCATTACAAAGTTGACGCTGCAATTTTGGGCCATTTTCCCGCCGGATGTGTGGTTTTTTTTTAGATAATATTTAAATACATGGGAATATTTCGTGAACTGTTTTGACAATGCTTGTGTCATTAAATGTGTAAGATTTTGGTTCTGTTCTAGACTCACCCTAGATGGACTCAGTAGCCTCTGACGCTTTATTTATTTATTTATTTGTTTATTTTTTTCCTCCTCCTATCCAAAAAAAAAAAAAAAAACCCAACCAGTCGTCTGCTCTCAGGAAGTAGCCCTCTGGATGAATATTAATATGGATGCAAATGCGCGGTGAGGAGGATGCTCCGCGCCAACGCAGCGCGCTCATGTCTGCGCATTTCTTTCATTTTTGCTTGATTTGGACATTTTTCACCGTTTACTTCATTTCTCCCTCCCTCTGGTGCTCCTGCGGGAGCCGGGCAGCAGCATGGCTCCGGTTCGGAGGAGGTGTTCGCTGTTAGTCCCGCCGTGCTGAGCAGCACCATGCCGCCGCCGCGCCTCGGCGGTGAAACCGAACCGCAGACCGTCCGGAACATGGAGGCGTCCGAACCATGATGCGCGTCTGAATTTAGGATTTTTGTTCATCCTCGCGTCAACTGACACATCTTGGATTTTTCCTCCCCCACCCACTCCTCTCCTCCTCCTCGCGCCAAGACAGCTGTGTCATCAACAACCGGCGTGGTTTTGTTGTTGTCTGATTTTTTTTAATTTTTTTTTTACAAGTCTGGCTTGTCGCCTCTTCCTCTACATCTGCGCCCACCACAGGAGACCTAGACACCCAGGTATGTTCTCTGATCCACAATGGACGCGTGTGTTTTGCTCCATAAATCCTCGCACGCGCGGCTTGCATCATCTAACCCACATAGGGCAGCTGTCAGGGGCCGAAACGCGCCGGAGAGGAGGGTCTGGAGGGGGGCTTAGACTATCAATACCAAGCACATTCACAATGACAACAATAAAGACAGTTTTTAATTTGATTTCACGGAGTCTCAGTGGTCAACCTTGAGGACGCGCAGAAGAAGAAGAGGCTCGAGGCGCAGCGTGTGGTTGGTCGTGACGAGCTCTGATTAATATTTCAGCCAAAAACAAACCACCATCAGCTGACTGGACGTGCACGAACACGCACTGGCGTTCCTTTAAGGCAGTAGCAATAATCATAATAATAATAACTGCGCGGCCATGATGGAAAACATCTGCGCGACTATAAGAACAGGCGTGAGTGCGTAAATATACAACTGGGTGAAGCGTGTGTGCGCGCGTGCGTGAGTGTGTATGGGCGGTATTTCTGCGATTGTAAAAAAAAAAAAAAAAATACGGGTGACGTGGTGAGTGCATAAGCGTGTAAGCGCGCGCGTGTGCGTTTGCACGCAGCCAGGTGAGGATGTGTCGGCGCGCGCGCGCGTCTTTGGGCAGGTGTCTGGACATCCTGATGGGATTTCTTTGTCATTGTTGCTCTTATTTAAACAGAAAACAGGCGTTTGGGCGCGCGATCAGCTGATTATTGCTCAATAAAGTGCCGCAGTACCCCCCCCCC